TGGGCTGGATTCAGTTGTTTGTTTTCTTTTGTTGGCTGCCTTTTATTATGCCTTTTTAAAGGTCATACGAAGGAGCGGAGAATGCGACTGGAAAAGGAGTGTTACGACCGATTCCTTATGGACCCGTAAATGAGAATTCGGCATTTATTTTCATTGGTTGGTTCTTCCATCACTTTTTTATCCATTACTTATTGTTTATTATTTTAAGGTGGTGTCCCACGTTCCGGAACAACATTAATGCGAGCCATGTTGGACGCGCATCCAGATGTGCGCTGTGGCGAAGAAACCCGTGTGATACCAAGAATATTGGGATTGAGGGCGCAGTGGAAAAAGAGTGAGAAGGTGTGTTTGACGTCTACCAAGGCTCAATGTTATCATGCGAATTATATGAATAATGTAAAATTAGTCGAATGCCGCACATAAACGCGATTATAATTACAGAATTTTGCGAAAATAGCCCCATACTTGGTTAGGGAGCAGAAAGTGTGTTACGTTCGAAACAATTCTTGCTTTTTTCGGTCTTTTGCTATCATGCCATGTGCCTGTTGATAGTGCATTTAAAGCTTATACCAGTATTGCTTATCTGCTTTATAGATGATTCAACGCTTTCATGTTCATAATTGTTCATACTTCATTTGGCTGTCACCCTAAGTTTGTTAACACATTGCGAACATGAAAAGAGAATATCCGTGTTTAATTGTCCATCACTTTGCGCTGCGATCAAATTCACGCGAGTTCCATTGATTTCAGTACAAAACTGACATATCCTTGGAACGTTTCACATTTTGAGTTAGTGAAATCTTTGATATTTTGGAGAAACATTAACGTTCTGTTTCACCTAAGCATCCTACAGATGTAAATCTTGATCGGGCAGAGGGCAAAATGGACGCGAGTATGCTTCTTAGCTCTTTGGAAGTTTTTTGAAAATTTGGAGTTCTCAGAGAATTGCATTTGAGCTTGCCAAAATCTTAGCAGCTACTTAACGCTACCTTTTGAGGAATGGAATCGCTTACAACAAGCGGGTGTTACCAATGAAGTAATCAAAAGTGCAATCAGTTCCTTCATTATACAGGTCAGTCCCATATTTTTCGTTTTCTCTTTAATACAAACTTTTTTTGCTGCATTTTTTCAGACAGTTCTTAATTTTTTTAGTTTTATATATTTGGCTCAGGTGATAGCCGGACATGGCGCTCCAGCTCCTCGTCTTTGTAACAAGGACCCATTCACGATGAAGTCGGCTGCATTTTTATCGGAAATGTTTCCAAATGCTCGATATATTTTCATGATTAGGGATGGTCGAGCAACTGTACATAGTATCATATCAAGAAAAGTACGCAAGTCCTTGTTGATTGATGATATCTTAACTCCCAGCTTTTTAGGTTACCATTACCGGCTTCGATTTAAATGACTATCGTCAATGTATGACGAAATGGAACACAGCGATAAGCGCTATGAATGATCAGTGCGATGCCGTAGGAGACAAATGCCTGAGGGTAAGATTTTACTGATTGAGGTGCTGAACGGATCAGATTGCTGATTTTCAGGTTTATTATGAACAATTGGTATTGCATCCTGAACCACAGATGAGGCGAATTTTAAAGTTTCTTGATTTGCCATGGAATAGTAGCGTTCTTCATCATGAGCAGTTCATTGGCAAGGATATCTCGTTGTCAAATGTTGAAAGGAGTTCCGATCAGGTTAGGGTTGTGAGATTTGGAATCTGAGGCGGTTTACGTAATCAGTGAAGAGTAGAAAATGATTGGTAGATTTCAAGTTTCGAAGAACGATGTTTCCCTTAGGTTTAGAAAACAACACATGCAGTGTATGGTATTCATTGGATTTTCCTTCAGTTTTGCAAAAAGCTTTTCTTCTTGGAGCTGCATCAATTACTGATTGGGAATGGATTTAGGTGGTGAAACCAATTAATGTGGATGCACTATCGAAATGGGTTGGCTATATCCCCGAAGATGTTGTGAAAGATATGGATGAAATTGCTCCAATGCTTCGGCAGCTTGGCTACGATCCAAATGCGAATCCACCGAATTATGGTACTGGTTTTCAAGTTCCTTCTCATCTTCTTTGAGTCATGTTCCTTTTATTAATTCCCATACTATTGCTTCAAATCGCATCATAGCTAATAAGCTTAATACTTTTTCGTAATATTAGTTACATATGCGGACATACATGTTACGTATTGGGATATCACTATAGCTTATAGCGGGGCAAAATTCGATGAAATTTAACTTTTTCCCGTTCATTTTCCATTAGCTTCTCTTTACATAATCTATGACATCGTCATGTGCCTTTTTTTGCCATGCGTTGGACTCTTGAATTATATGAATGGTGCTGTATTAAATTGCCATCGTCCAACGAAATATAGATGACAGAACTAGGTGAATGTAGTGATTCTTATTTGCGAGGTGGATTTATTAGTGACTGCATTAGCAGCAT